GTGACGTAAGAAAGCTTTACGTGCGTCAAATTTATTTGAAAATTAATAGGAAAGAGAAATCCTTTGGAACTGGGGTACTAAACCCAAAACACGGGTAAATGACCTTAGATACAAGCAATCATTTCCCAAATTTGAAAGCATGCTTTGTAGCTTTCTAATAAGCCTAGGTGCTGTGTGTATTCAACAGAGAGCAGACAAAGTGACAGCATTCCACATGACTTGTGAACAAGGATCTATGCCGATAGTACAGTTCTTGACCAGTAAAGACCCAGCAATCTGTAGAATAACACTTGTTGACTGCAGAGGGCGGACACCGCTTCATATGGCTGCAGGCAAAAATCACACTCACGTTGTCGAGTTCCTGTTGGAAAATGTAGGTATTACTCTGCATGCAGAGATAATAAAAAGGTGGCGCAGATAACAGTGTAGGTCAGGCCGCAGCCATTCAAAGGCTTTACAACGCTATCCACTGGATAAATCGCTATCCAGTGGATAAGTGTTAACAAAACAAATCGCGCTATTCACTGGATAGTGGTTTATACGGTGGATAGCGTTATTCACCTTTCGAACAGCTCGGACTTGGAGTTGCAGCTACCTATTTTTGGCGTATAATGTAATAATGGGCAAAGTAATCGCTTAAGGGGTTGTGTCCATATGGGCTGCATGTGCTCGCTTCATTATGCCATCACAAGCAAAATACTTTGAAAAAAGCCCTATAGAAAACGCAATGATAAAACAACGTAACTAACGAAGATGCCTTTTCCCCATTTCAGTATTTTTTTACTGGCATTCTTTTGTCTAAAACGATCTACCTCTAATTGTCATCAACGCAACGTTGATGACAAAGATTGGACTTCTGGAATTGACAACTATGTTATTAATAGAAATTTTTAATAAATTTTCAATTGTATTTTTTCTTTGTATTTTTCTATTTGAATTTGTTATTGTATTTGTTTGGTAGATTTTAAGGACCACAATGAGAACTACTAGTTTTACCAGTAATTGTGTTATCTAATAAAGTCATTATTATTACTATAATTCCACGAAACAAAATCATTTTATCAATCTAGGGAGCGGTCCTGGATCCTAAGGATGATGAGCGCAGCTCGCCGTTGTTCAGGGCGGCAAAGTATGGTGCGGGCGCGATGGTTAAGCTTCTTATGCAGCGCGGTGCTGACGTGACCATCCGAGACGTGACGCTTAAATCAGTGGTTCATGCAGCAGTAGGGGATCACAAATCCATGGAAGCTTTGCTGCAGGTGAGTTGTCATGGTGATAGTAGTAATGATCGACAAAGAATGTACACTTTGCCATGTCCGAGTGACAGAAATGAAGTTGAGACCTCGGCAGTTCCAAATGGTAAAGGAGGGTTTTTTAATGCTCAGCGAATTTTTTTATTAACAGTGGCTGCAAATTTCCAAACTTCTCCGACTGAAAGCGTTTTCTTTCTTGAAACATAGTAATAGAGCGCAATAAACCCTCATGAGGTTTGCATTAAACTTCAACCACAAATGTAATACTGTTATTTCAATGGCCGCAATATAGCAAGAAGTTATCACAAACCGTTCAAAAGCAGAATCCGTCTTGTTCAGTTTCGACAACTCCACAGTATTTTCCTAACCGTGTTTTTATTCTATGACTGATCTCTACCTGAACACCTTCTCGTTTACGACAAAGAATGTTCTATGTTACTGCTCTGAACAACATGTTTTCCTCATTTTTTCCTGTAACCAGAGCCCAACAGCTGCTGCACTCATCACTGAGAAAGACAATGATGGGTTTTCTCCAGTTCACTATGCGGCCAAGACAGGGGATCTGAAGGTTCATATTTGAATTGTTGATTGAACCACGAATTTTGTTAATTGCATGATCTGAATTATTCTTTACGTCTAACGAGAAACTGCGACAAATTTAAAATGCGAAATGACAATTCTGACACACTGTCATTTGAAGCGGGTGATTTTTTCATCCTGACGGGGGTGCTAAATGCGTAAAGATCAGACTTGACTTGCTGTTTTAATTCAAACCATGTATGCAAGAAAGAACTTTAAAAAACCTAGTATCTACTTCTCCTCCTCTGGGATTCTTAGATGGGCACGCGATTATTTAAGGAACAAAGTAAGCGGCGAGCAGTGGATCGATCGGGACACAACGCCACAGTTTCACGAAAGAAGTCACCCCGCTAAACTTTGACTGAGTCATCTTCTGATTATGAGAACTTTACTCGACACGGGGGACGATGGGAAACAAGGTCTGCTATCCACTTCTTCCATTCTCTCTTTTCCCCATCATACCACCCGTCATGGAATTTTTCCTAAACATGTCCTCGGGCTCGAATTTAATAAGGGTCATTACAGCTTTAAACTTGACGCTAAGGACAGTTACTTACTAAATGGATACACGTCCGGGAATTGAAGTACATGTAACGCAATGTATAATATAAAAAGCAGTTTCAACAATTCTGTTAATTGAATGTTATAGCAATATTTTTTCTTTATTTTTTTAACATTATTTTTTTTGTCACAGAATATTCAGTTGTTCGTAGGCAAAAACAGAGCTTCTTCAAGTGTATTATCAAACAGTATGGACACACCAATTCACGTGGCATCAAGGTTAGATATTTTCACGAGGAATAAAACACAAATAGCGGTGATAAACATATTAAACTTACGCATTTTAATAACTTGACGTTTCGTATGCTACGCAACATACATTTTCAAAAGTGGAATATGGATGTTGCGTAGCATACGAAACGTCAAGTTATTGAAATGTGTAAGTTTAATATGTTTATCACCGCTATTTGTGTTTTATTCCTCGTTAAACTACGATGGCCCAAGAACAAAAGCCTTTGGATATTTTCCTCACTTTTAAGGATTGTTAAAAGTACTGATTGCGCATTTTCATAGAAAAGCATCTCGACTGTCCGGCCTTAATGCACACACCGAGTTGGGCAGGAAATCCGAAAGTGGAGATGGAAGGTCTAAGCTTGCAATTCGCTTGGCTTCTTGGCGCATTCATCACCTGTTTTGAGCTGCATCGAGCGAAGAAGATTATTTCAAAGATAATTTTTGGCTCGTTCGTATCGTACGCAACGTTCTGTGTTCGGCTAACATGCGATGACCTGTTTTCCTTGTTGTTGTTGTTGTTGAACAAAGTCTATATGGTATCTAAAACGTTTAAGCTTCCAATTGAATCATTAAAAAAAACGGCTCTCCATGATAATGGAACTTACCTGAAATTGAATGTGCAAATTGGAAGTATCTCAACATTCTACTGTTTTCTTCGACAGATACGGAAGGACAGACATCGTGGAAGCTCTTATGGACAATCAAAACGCGAAAATAATCAATTTGAGAAACAATCACGGTAGGACAGCGCTACACTTTGCCTGTGCGGGAGGACACGACCACGCAACTGAGGCACTACTTAGAATGGGTGCGACGATAGACAGGTAAACATAACGCTTGCTAAAACACTTAAGAGCCTTAGCCACAATGGCCAGCAGTGTTTTGAGTACCTGCCCGTTCTTGTGAGAGCCAAATTTGTTTCATTCAGATAAATTTAGCTAAATTCTGTCAATACGGTTAGTGTCAAATTCTGATCGATCCCTTGTTGACCGGTCAGTAAAGCGAGTTCAGGCAAGAGACAAACACTGTCAAGACGAGTGGGTTGCTGCCAAAAGAAAATGTTTCCACAAAAAACAAATTTAGTTATCTAATAAGAAGAGAAAAGGAAAGGTGCCAACAGAATACCGCCATCTGACATATTACCGTACGTTTTTGGGTAAATGTAAGAGTTGCGATGTACTCAGCGCCAGGGGGTACTCTCTTATATGGGCTATATAGGTATGTGCGGCCCCAAAGGGTATGGTTTTTCAGCCGTTTTAGTCATGAATGAGGCATCGAATTTGGCCATTTTGGTCATAAATAGGGTATTGTTTTCGCACTCTAGTCTTGACATGGGTATGTTTCCAAGAAGAAGCTACATTTTCATCATTATATATTGATGAGACCATCAACAAAAGCTCTTCACAAAGTATGTTTACGGTAAGTTAACATTGGTCTGAACTAGGGAACTAATTGTAACGCAGGTCTGAAACATTGATTTAAGGATCAGGTCATAAATAGGTTTCGAATTTTTGGTCAGGTCATAAATTACTTACTTACTTATTCCTCTTCGTTTCTAATGGAACATAGGTCCTCAACTAGAGCGCGCCACCTAACCCTATTTTGTGCAGTGCACTTTGCCTCATTCCACGCGAGATGTTTCCTCTCCAACTCTGCCATTCTCGGCTTTGAACAGCCTAATCGTGGTCATAAGCGGTACATTCGGGTAATCTTTTGTTATGGCCTGACTATCAGAGACATCTGGATGTAAGAGGAAGTTGACTTTTTTCTTTTTTTTTTTTCCAGAGATCAAAATGAACGTACACCACTTCATTTAGCTGCCATTAAAGGGTCGTTGCCTTGTTGTGAAGTAATCGTAAACAAGAACGAGGAGTGTGTTAACGATTTAGACAAAAACAAGGTAAAATCGTTTGAATGGACTATTCTCTAAACACAATAGCTAAAATTATTGATTTTTTTAATCCCTTGCAGACCCATATATATCTTCAAAGTTGTTAGGCGTGATTCGCAAATCAGTCCAGATCGTCCAGATCACTATAGTCTTAAAAATTGCTGTAAAGGAATACAGACGAATTAACAAATGAAGCAGCCATTTTGAAATAATCAAACCTCCGTCATGACTGTCTACTATCATTGCAAAAATCCAAAGGAAAAAATATCTGTGATCCAAATGGATTCGTGCTTTTCGTGGAAAAGAATTACTTGCTGCAAGATTATGAAATTAGGGTTAAACATATTCTGCCAGGTTGTCAAGGTGTCAAACCACGAAAGTTCTGGGCGAGGACGACCCTAATACGACAGTTCTAAAGCTCTTCAAATTTAGCACTAAACAAGAGTCTATTGTTGGAATTTTGTTATGGATATTGCATCAAAATGCTAGATCTCAAAAATAACCTCTGCGATATTTGGTAACAACCCCTTCCAAAAACACGTGCCGTCTGACGTCTTGACAATCTTCGAATTTACCAAAAGGCTTTCTGGCGGGTGACTTTTCATGTAATAAGGACTATGCCCGATGAATTGCTATGTTTTGCATCAAATTAAAGGAAGCCTGGAAATTATAGTTTACCAAGATAGAAAAAAAAAACAAACACCAAATAGTCGGTGAACAACATTCGCAGAGAAATTAAGATGGCGGCGAATGAAAGGGATTAAGATGGATTGTAGTTAACAAAACTTAAATTACATTGACTCTCTTAATAGACCATATTCGTATTCTCGGTAATGGACTGGAACTAGCTTGCGACTGAGGTTAAAGCGGCATGAGCCCCCACTTCAAACTAGTTCTAGTCTGATACCGAAAATACGAATATGGTCTGTTGAAATGAAATATGTTAAACATGTGCTATCTCAGAAATACGCCTTCAACATAATAAAAAAAAAATTGACATCTCAAAAGATGAAGACATTGATCAGATAGAGCTCAATAGGAAAACGTTATCTAGATGTTAAAAGATATTTTACTTTATTTTTTCTGCAGAACACAGCCATGCACCTGGCAGCAATCAATGGTCACGCAGCCGTGGTGAAATATTTTCTGTCACATCCCAGAGCTCTTGTTCAAATGAATGGAAACAATAAAAATATTTTGGACATTGCTGTTGCTTCAGAATTCAGAGAAGTTGCAACAGTTATAGCAAAACACGAAAGGTCAGTATTAAAATCTACTTTCTTCTTTGGCCTTTTACGAAATTAATCTTCACGGCTATTGGTTAAAGTTAAATCCCCGTCTAATGAAAGTGTCCCTTCTTGCCGGAACTTATCACTGTTTTGGTACCATTTAGCGACTAGCAGTGTTTCTTCCCTCTCTGATTCGGATGCTAATCCATTGCAGGACTAGCCCCCAGTATTTTAAAAATTCGACAGTACCCATTTATATACGTGGATGGAAGTGGGCATTATGTTCCAGTTCTGAGGGTAAATTGTCTTTCCCTAGACAAGAATGCAGTGACCCCGGGAACCAGGGCTCCAACCCGGCCCTCCCTATCCCGAGTCCAGTACGGAAGCCATTAGATCACCATGCTTCACCGCACATCATCATCGGAAAAATATTCTTGGCAAGTAGAACTACAATCCTAGAGTCTTGGGACACTGCAGGGCTCGGAAAATTGAATTATGACTTTACACTTTCCACAAAATAATGCCCCACCAGCTGGTAGTTTGTCAAATGTCCTAAGGACCTTTGGCCACTATTGTTGATATGTTTAGTAATCCCACAACTGCTCACAAATTGTAGCCTGGTAACGTGCCCTAGACGGGGTCGAATACTGCTTGTAAAACGAACAGTGGACTTGGCTCGAGTTGAGAGCTCCAGATTGAAGCCATGGCGGTGTCATTGTGGTTTATTGCTGGACAAGAACCTTTATTTTCTAAACTAGGATAGATTCGTCATGCATGTCGGGCGATTCTCTTTTATAATATTAATTTCAGGTGGCAGGAGGTTTTGTCCCAATGCTCAACGGGGTTGGTACCCGTGATGCAAACCTTGGTTCGAAAGATGCCGGAAGTAGCTGTGGTAAGTGACGTAACGCTGGAAGATGTGACAATCAAGCTTCAGGTTTTCTTTTATAAGAGAGGTCAAGAATAACGCTTACGGCAAACGACAAACTGCAAAAATTACCTCTGATTCTGTGTTCTGTTCTTTAAATAAATCACACAAAAACAGAAAAGCGTCCCCTACTATTCATCACAAACACAAATAGACGATTCAACTGAGGCCTTGAGCTACAGTTGTTCTTTTAAATCCAAGCAGTAAGGCTTCAGTCGAATCGTCTATTTGACGCTACTGAAGGACAACTTTTTAAAGTATTTTAAGTCGCACATAAATGAAAAACGTCTGCTGCTATTCACCGCAAATACAAATATTTTCACTCCACTGTACAAAAAAAAAAAAGAAAAAAAAAACGAGTTTATTTTTGCCGTTTGCCGTTAACAGCATACCTTTCCATTCTACCATGTGTATGGACATTTGTTTTAACCCAGCCCGGGAGCTGAACTCGACCACGTGGGCTGTAGTCCAGTCCCTAAATTCTTGAAACTCAGGCGCCAGAAGGGAGAGTCTCTCTTTTTTCTCGCTTGGGTTACACCCCTCAGGGAGAGTTCAGGGACTGAACTTCAATCGTTCACGCTGCTCTTTTGAAAAATTCGTTAAAACGTCTCTCTCATAGTTCTTCTTGGATCAGTGCATGGAAGAGAAAGGAGACCGAGATTCTGAGAACTTTATGGTAGGCTCATTTAGTCAAATTTATAACTCTGTAAACTAAGTCCTTTTACTTGACAAAGCATAGTGAATATATAGAGTTAGATGGAAAATGACTATTTCTTTATTTAGCATCCTGAAATTTTTACTAATTTTGCTCAAATCTGAATAACATATACATCCAACAACAAAATGTTTAAGCGATTCTCTTGCCAAAATTAAGAAGAAAACAGAAATATCTTACAAAAAAGCGATTGCATAGACCTTTTTACCGATACGGCAGCCATTTTGAATGCCACTGTTTCAGATAGGTATTATGGGACGCTTAAGGGGCAACTACATACTAATTCGGTCCCTGAACATCCCACAGTGTCTCTCAAATCAATGTAAATCAAAATGGCTGCCGCATCGGTAAGAAGGTCTATTCTTTTAAAATTTTATTACTAGTTTGACTCCTTTAAAAATCGTGACAAATATTTTCCAGATAAAATACGACCTGAATTTAGTTCAAGGCCAGCATCCTGGAGAACCTCTTAAAGCTGACAAAAAGTCGCTGCAACTTATTGAGGTAAATATATAATTTAAAATACTAAGTATATTGCGCGTACCGTCTCATCGGCCCGATTTGTCGGGCGCGATCAATACTGTAGGTTATAATCCATCAAATATTTTCGCTCGCGCGCGATTGGTCTAAACGCGTCACGTGATCGAATATTCCCCAGCTAAAACTGGGAAGTATTAGAAAATATTCCCCAATTTTCAAAACTGCGCGTGTTGCGAAAAAGATTTGAAGGATAATAAAGACAATAGCCTCCAATTGGCGCGAAAATATGCTCGGATATTTGTCCTTAGACATTATCTGTTCCTCGAAGCTCACAGTTTTCTGAGAGCTACGCTCTCGGAAAACGTTTCGCTTCTCGGGGCAGATAATGTCCGCGGACAAATATCCGAGCATATTTTAGCGCCAAATGCAGGCTATTGTTTATATATCGCATTGGTAAATTAACAGTGCGAGCACTGCAGATCGATGTCGAAAAACGAAAAATTCCTGACTATGCTCCAAGTAACTGGAACCAGTACTGACTGATATTGTTTCCTATAATCAAATAAAATTGGAGAGAAACGATTTTTTTTAGCTAAGAACACCAGCGAAGGTCTACAGTAGCCTCGAGCTTTTTCTTTACACTGGCACATAATTCTTGAATTCTTGTAAAAAATAGATTTTTGTTGAATTTCCCTAACAAATGGCGCTAATTCTCAACATCCTACTGCGTGTTCATATTCTGTTTGTGCTTATGGCTAGTGACAAACAGCCCTTCTTGAGCAATAGAAACGAAATCAGTTGTGTGGCATCGTTCCCACGAGCCTCCCTGAGCTCGGTGGCTAAGCAGCTGGCAGCTTTAATTTACACGCATGCTGCTCAGGTGGCTTTAAATGCATTTTCACCCTCCACGAAAATATCCACCCAAACTCATATGCATGGTAACATTATCCGCGGAAAAACTGGGTAGCATGTCTAAAAATTAACTCAGTTGGCTTAATAATAATAGGCATCCGTCATTCTCGCGAGACTATGGATACGCGCTCTGGGTGATAGTTCTGGCTTTAACACTAGCACTAGTGCTGCGTCGAGTGTGACTTGTCAGGCCGATTGGCGAGTTACAGTCTCTCCCGCACTGGGTGCAGGTGTAGTCTGACGTTGGTCTGTCTCCATGCCTTCAGAGCTTCCTTCTCTGTCTCTTTGTTTCATTTTGTTGGGCAAGTGACTCTTCATACTTGTAAAAGCCCAGCTGGCTTACCTCGAGAATTAGGCCTATATGGGGGATTAACTTTCTAACCCGTCATCCTCTCTTGGCTCCGGGGGGAGGAAATTCTAAATTGGTGTTTTTGTTTCTTATCTTTAAAGACAATGGCAAGTTACCGACGCGAGAGCTGTCTGACTCATCCTGTCAGTTTCACATTATTAAATATGAAATGGTAAGAATGTATATTGAGTGTAAATTATTATCTGTTGGAAAATATATATCGCAGTGGCTTTGTTTACCCGATATTTTCTTATTTTACAACATGCGACCGCATGGTCACGGAACAAAGAAAATTTGTCCTGCTTTGACTCCAGAGCTAGCTTGGTTCTACATTGCCGGGTTAAACATCAATACCATTCAACATGGCGCGCTAGAGCAGTTTCATCGCCGCACTTTTTGTCCTGGCCACCTTTTGCAGCTTTTTAAACTTTTCTTAGAAACCTGCAAAATTGTTGTGCGACATTTTAACATGACTTGTTTTCTCACAGGAAGAAATTTGGTTGGCTGACGTTTGCTGTGAATCTTTTGTCATATTTCGCGTTTTTGATTCCATTGACATATTTGGCTGTGTATGGACATACGAACGAAGACACTTTGTGCATTAAGGACAATTCTACTGAGTCTGGTTACGAGGTATTCATATTCCATTATTCTTTTTAGCGGACGTTTGATTGACGTGCGAGAAAGTGAAAGATCATGAGCTGGCGGTTGGGGGAGGGGTGGTAGAGAAATTCACAGTCGGTCGTGTAGACTATTTTGTAGTAGCAATAATGGTGTTTTCAGATACTGTAAAGCTTACAGACGTGTGATTCGCTGGAAAACCAAGCTTTAGGATTTGTCGGAGGAAAAATATACAAAAACAATGTCATTATTATTGTTGTTATCATTATCATCATCATCATCATCATTACTCTAGACAAACGATTTAATGTTATTATTTGTAGTTACTTGTTATTAAAGCAGTCTTCCAATGCAGCGCGTCTTGGAACGAAAATGCACCAAGCCATGTTTATCCCAAGGCGTGTTATATTCCGTTATACTTGGCAAGTTTTCCAGCAACTTGTGAAGCTACAAAATTGTGACATCATATTGTTATTTAAGCCTCTATACTGAATAAAATAGCCCTATTAATTGTGTATATTTTTTTTCTCAGGAAACGTGTACCAATTCAGATCTGGTAGGTACTCCTAATTATTCTGCCACCAAAATTACCTTTTCAGGTTATACACGTTCGTGTATTAGAAAACTGGATTTAATAAACCACGGTGAAAATCTCATATTGTTTTTCTTTCGCAACATTTAAGTCTTCAAAATTTATCTCAAGCCGCCTATATCAAGATCTAGAGAATAGGACGATTGGACAGGAATACTTTTGACCAATGGGAATCTATATCTGTTTCTAGATTTGGATACCCCTGTTTAGTGCAACTAACTTTGATAAATAAAATCTGTACGAAATCCAGGACGTAGTCAAATGCCTACGATATATCGGAGTTACATGTATTAATATTTTGATTTATTTTTAGGCAACCCAGCTTATGAGCGCTGTTGTTTTAATTGCGGTTTCCATTCTAATGATCAAGCATATTTTTTCACTGATACGCAAGGTAAACCTTCTTTGTTAATAACTTTAATGATTAGTAAAGTTTCGTCTTATTATGGGTCAGTAGCCTGCGAGCACGCCCTTGAGGAGACCCCGTACTGCAAGAGCTGCCAAGATTTCATTTTATTTATTTAATCACCATTATCCGTTTCGACAGTGCAAGAGCTGCCAAGATATCTTACTTGGTAGCCTCTCGTTGGCGTTCTGTTAGTTGGAGCGTAGTACGAACCATTTTCTGGCAATGTGCTGTGGAGTTTTAAGGCGTCAAAGATGCAAGGTCTTCCACCATACCTTGGCTCGGCTGGATGTGTACTGCCTGGTGCCCCTGTCTTTGTTATTTAGTGATTAATTAGTTGCTGAAATAAATTTCTTTGGTGCTGTTGCACAAGATGAACTTTTTTTAGGGTTCTTATGATCTAGTCATTGTTTTGTGACATGCATTTTGTTTTTAATCGCGTTTCTAATAAACGCCATTTTTCTTCCAGCGTATGGCATACGTGCTCATCTTCTTAAATTACGTGGAGTGGTTATGTTACATCGCATCCTTTGTTTACGTCATACCAATATGTGACTGCAAGAAAGGTTATAAAACGGAGGTGGGCGCTATTGCGCTATTCTTTGGTTGGATGAACCTCATACTTTACTTCAGAAGGTAGGTTGTGGATATTTTGGTAACTTTTGGGTATCCTTTTGGGTATCCAACTTCCTTTATCCCACAAGTATGTTACTGTGTATTTTGTGCTGTCCTTGGGTTGCGAGCATAGACGGATCTTTATGAAAATCCTAAACATGGATTTCAATTACAAAATGATGGATGGCCATTTTTGACCTTCACCAAGATTAGCTGAAACGCTTGCGTTGTGGGAGGAAAGGGAAGTGAAGACTTTTCCAAATCACCCTTCAAATTTTAACACATTTCAAATACAGTCAGCTCCAAGAACATGTTGGTCCACCCAGACCACCCCAGTACACCTGTTTGTCATGGATGGGTGCTAGGAAGAATCGTGGTATTGCTGGGTGAAATTTATTCAGACATTCATGGAAGTTAAAGCACATTGTTGGAGCCGAGTGCGAGAATTCTGGCATTTTAGCTAAACAGTTAATCAGTGAACGCATTTAGACTTAGTTCCTAATGACTGATCTTTCATGGTCATGACTCATGAATTTTCTTTCATCTTCTTATTCAGGTTGTCATCCTACGGCCAATACGTGATTATGCTGACTACCATGTTTGTCACACTTGTCAAGGTGAGGAAACTGTACAGATATGGGCAAACGGACAGACAAGCAAACAGGCAGACAGGTAGATCTAGAGGGACAGATCTAGACAGATAGATCTAGACAGGCAGACAGACAGACAGACAGACAGACTGACAGAAAAACAGAAAGACAAGTCTAGACAGGCAGATCTAGACAAACAGATCTAGACAGGCAGATCTAGAAAGGCGGATCTAGACAGGCAGACAGACTGACAGACAGACATGTAGACAGACAGTTAGACAGATATCGTAGTATACGGAAAAAACAGACAGACCAAGACAGAAAAATTAGACAATAAAAACGGACAGATAGTCAGTTAGACAGGCAAACAGACAGACAGACACATAAAAAACCATCACGCAGATTCACAGACTTACAGTTAGACATACTGATAGGCAGAGAAATCTACGAGAAGGGTTTCACAATAAGACTGCTTCGAAATAATTGAATTTACTTTATTCCATTCATTCCTTTAAGGTTCTGCTCTTGTGGATGCTGTTTATTATGGCATTTGGAACGACGTTTTATATGATTATGGATCATGTAAGTTCTCTTATAGCTGACTTAGGTGCATGACAAAATGAGTAACAGTACTTCAGTTTAAAATGCATTATACTACCAACTCTCTTAAAACGGACACCATGGTAAGGTGGACACCTCCAGGATGCGGTGGAACGGCGAAACCTTGGAATTAAACGAGTAACAGTAGGTCAAGGCCTTAGTCGAGTCGTTTAGTTTCCAAAACGGAAATGTGGTCAAACACTATTTTGAGTGTGACAGCATCAATGCATATTTCAAAAGATAGAAGTGTTTTTTCAAAGTTCAGATAATTCTTTGTATTACATCAGTGTTCTAAGGACGTTTGTCCACCGTTGCATAATAGTCATGTTATGTGCTAAGTGTGGCGACTTTCTTGTTTGTAGGAACACTTCAGTAACTTTTCATATGTTCTGATGACTATGTACGTGATGACGCTGGGAGAATTGAACTACCACGAAGATTTCTTTCCTTGGGATGAATTGCCTTTTCCAGCCCTCACCAACATTTTGTTTGTTGTCCTTGTTCTCGGAATGCCAATTATTATGATGAATATGCTGGTATGTTCATAATCTGCTTCGTCGATTCATTGAACTTTACTTGTCTCCCTTCAGGACTAACGGTTTCTTCTAATACTTTGATGCCTTTGGGTTAAGATAATTACCATCGACTTATAATAATTTTAAACTGTTCAGATAAGGAGTGTTTAAGTGCTATACAACTACGTCGTAGTTGTAATAAATCACACGTTTTTGTCGTATAGCTTCGCGTCAGACTAATTCTATAGCCTTTTTAACCGTAGTTTTATTTAGTCTAATGTAATACTTATTTTACAATATAATTTTCTACGATTAGGGTCTTGGATTTCTTATTAGGATAGGTTAGTTAGGTGTTCCCAGTTAGCAAACGTAGACCGTTGTACTGTAGTAAGCTAGGATGATTGACACAATAATAAAGTTATTGCTATCATCCTTACATCATTATTTTAGGTTGGTCTCGCTGTTGGTGATATCGACAAAATCCAGCAGAATGCTCTGATGGACCGCTACGTATTACAGGTAATCCTGCGGGACACGGGGCGCTTTCCATTCGACCAAAACTTTCGGAAACTTTCGGAAATTTCCTGAAATTCTCAGTTGCAAATGGAACAGCATTTTCCACAATTTTCGTAAAAGAGGAGAACCTCGCGAGATACAACCAAAATTTACAAAAATTTCTCACTAAGAAGTCCGGTTCTATTTGACTTTAAGCCCGGAATTTCTGGAATTTTCGGTTGAATGGTTTGCATGCAGAAAATTTTACAATTTTCGGATTTTCCAAAAATTTTCCAAGAAATCGTTCGTACCATTTGCTCCCGTTTCAAAATTACGGGAATTGTTTGGTTAAATGGAAAGCAACCCATGCAATGTTTATACACCAACACAATGGGCGCCAAAATCGAGACTGCAAATTATAAATGTCATTCGTGACAAATGTTCTTCGTAGATAACATCAAGTTTAATTCAAAGTTACCACTTTAGCCAGTCAAAATCACATGGACAATCTAGTGAACCATCAAAACTTTAAGCAGATTCATGTAGCTGACGCGAACGCGAGAAAACTGCGCGAGCGAGTTACGATTGGTTTTGGTTTTACTTCTGATAGGATGAAAAAGTTGCGCGAATTTTTTAAGCCAATTGTATAGCGCAGTAATGCACAATCAACTATTTTTCTACGCTCAAGTGAAAAACGCTCTGAACTCAATACGGACTTTTCAATTACGCTATCCATGCTTGCTACTTTTACATCACAACAAGACAGAAAAACCACCACCACCACCACCACCACCACCACCACCACCACCACCAACAACAACAACACAAAAAAAGAATACAAAACTAAAGCAAGCAATTATAAAACAATGAATTTCTCTTGTTTTGTTTTTTAGGTTCAGTTACTCTTGGATATTGAGAATTCTCTACCACTATTTATTCTTAAGCGTCTTCAAGTGCACAGTTACTCTGAGTGCCCAAACGGCCCCAAATCGATCAGAACAAAGGTAAGTTACCGTAAATCCTATGTTAAGCTCCCCCCCTCTCAACTCTAATAAGCCCCCCTTTTTCCAAGGAAGAAAGTTATTAAGTCCTTCCTCTTCTTTAAGCCCCCTCTCCTCCCCCCTTATTCCACACAGTCGAGTTAGTAAACGATAGACTGTATCTGTAGTGTAATCACGACTGTAACACTTCATATGGACTGATCCGGTATGGTTTATTCACGTGCTGAAAGTTTGAAGTTGTTTTTGATCTTCGACTGCATGACCTCCAACTTCATGTGCTTGAACTTTTCACTTTGCGTTCTAGTTCTTTATGGAGAATTGGTACCATCTTCTAGCTGTGTGTTTAAATAAGCCCCCCTCCCCTTCAAAAGTGCTTGACCTCCAACTTCATGTGCTTGAACTTTCCACTTTGCGTTCTAGTTCTTTATGGAGAATTAATACCATCTTCTGGCTGTGTGTTTAAATAAGTCCCCCTCTCTCATAAACACCCCCCTCCCCCCTCAAAAAGGCTTAAAAAGAAATAAGCCCCCTGGGGGGCTTAATAGAGGATTTACGGTATAAATCCTTTTATCAGTGGAATCCCGATTTCACGGACGCTCGATTTTTTCGAACCCTCCCGATAACTCGAACCAAAAGTCACTTCTCTCCGCCTAGTCAAACACTAATTTTACCCCCGATTTTTCGAACTACCCGATTTTTTAAAAGCAATTTTCGTTTCCCTTGGAAGTTCGAGAATCGGCATTCTACTGTACAAGTGCGAAACATAATATTTTTGCTAAGTGCTGTTGAAAAGTGGTGTGTAATATCTCGATCGAGTGTGTCGACAGCTATAAAACAAGCATATACCCCGACCTATTTTTATTGTCCAACTGCTGATAGAGCAAGGCCTTGCCAGAAGGGGTGTGAGTGGGTTCGGTTTGTTGAGCTATTGTTTATCCCTGTAATTTAGAGCACAGTCATCCCTTATCACTAAAAGTGTCAACAATATTATCCCATAGTTAATAGAGGGAAATGGTTATGAAACCTGGCAAAGTTCTTTGTTGTATGTTTTTGTTGGCTATTTTGGGTGTTGACCCTGCACAAAACCTGGTAAAATACAAAAGGTGGTTAGGTGTGCTCATACAATTAGCCAATAGAAGCATTGCGGTTATGTAATTAATGGATAGTCAATGTGCATAAAATTTCGATTGCAAACTTATTACTGTAAACAAAATATAACGAAAGGCTTAACGCCCCCCCCCCCCCCCCCCCCCCCC